GTAGTAGTAGTAGTAGTAGTAGTAGTAGTAGTAGTAGTAGTAGTAGTAATAGTAGCATTAGTACATAAACTAGAGAATTAGAGTTACATTTCCTATTCCTGTACATCTAACAGTAGTAGTAGTAGTAGTAGTAGTAGTAGTAGTAGTAGTAGTAGTAGTAGTAGTAGTAGTAGCTGTAGTAGTAGTAGCAGCAGAAGTACATGAACTAGAGAATTAGAAATACATTTCCTATTCCTGTACACCTAGTAGTAGTAGCTGCGGTGGTGACAGTAGCGGCGGCGGTACATTAAAGTGATTACGTCACCGTAAATAGTAAAAATAAAAAAAATAATTCCACTTTTTTACAAAATATAACTAATTTTGTTCACTTTGTATGGGTAAATTGCTGCATTATACTTCCTATTTTACTATATTGTTCGATGTGAACATACACTCGTGACTCATACATAGCCCATAGCAAGCAATTAATGTCAGGAACATAATATCAAATCGTCCAGGTTTTTTGGATTTTTAACTAGTTGAGAAACAATCTTATCAGGTAAGAATTTGACGATACGTTTAGTCCCGTTAGTTCTTACTTTTAATGTAAAAAAAATGGCAACAAAAATGTTACAAATTTTACCATAGAAAATTCGTGACGTAGTCAATTTAACATGCCGCAACGTGCTCGTGTCTGTAGTCAGTCCATGTTCACGCTCTGCAGGCTCACACACCAGCCTGTTCTGCTAGCATCTATGACAAATACGACATACGCATATCCGCTCTCTTATGACACTATTTGTCATAGGAAGATTCTTCCTATGACAAATATTGTTGTATGTGTTGTGCGCATCATAGGAGTTTAGGAGCGCTATTATGAACGCAAGCAGTAAATTTCAGCTGTAAAGCGGAACGAAGTTGACGCTTATATTTGCCATAGGAAGAATCTTCCTATGACAATTAGTGTCATAGTAGAGCGTATATGCGTATGTCGTATTTGTCATAGATGCAAGCAGAACATGTTGCATACACGCATATCCACTGATGACTGTTATTTAGCTTTGCTGACAACTGGATCACTCCCAGTGTTTAATTACGGTTCGAGGCTAGAGCCCTACGAATTAGAAGTAGTTCAACTTTTAATTCTCCATTTGGCTAGCTTTGTTTCTCTTAGTTCGTCCCTGCCACGCCACCATACCATGTTATACTCGCCGTTCCTTCCACCCCTGCCACGCCACACTATATCATGTTATTACTCCGCGCGTTCCCTGCCACGCCTGCCACGCACAACTTATACCATGTTATCTCGCCGTTCCCTGCCACGCCTGCCACGCCCTGCCACGCCCTGCCACGCCACACTATACCATGTTATACCTCGCCGTTCTCTACCACGCCCTGCCACGCCCTGCCACGCCACACTATACCATGTTATACCTCGCCGTACCCTGCCACGCCCTGCCACGCCCTGCCACGCCCTGCCACGCCACACTATACCATGTTATACCTCGCCGTACCCTGCCACGTCCTACTACGCCCCCGTCATATTTTTGACTCAGCCTCATCCACCGCCAGCACGCGTGGCTCCACCAGCCCTATAGCCCCACACCCCTCCTTCTTTTTCGCCTCCCCCTCCCCGCCGCCGCCAACCCCACCCTCACCCCCGCCTCCGCCATCGTCATCATCATCATCATCATCATCATCGTCCTCGTCCGACTCTTCCTCGGACCGGTTGTGAAACGTGTCCGGATCCTGGTGCCGATGATAGTAGTAGTCGAAGTTTGAAACGATGATCGGGACCGGAAGAGCGATCGTCAGCACGCCGGATATGACGCACAGCGTCCCCACAAGCTTCCCCCACTCGGTCTTCGGCACCAGATCCCCATAGCCGATCGTTGTCATGGTAACGATCGCCCACCAGAACGCCGCCGGTATCGACGTGAAGTTCGTATCTTTGTAGTCCTGTTCGGCGTAGTAGACGGCAGACGAGAAGAGAACAGTTCCGATGAGGAGGAAAAAGATGAGGAGGCCCAACTCTGGCATGCTCGCGCTTAGCGTCTGTCCGATCACCTGCAAACCCTTGTAGTGCCGCGAGAGTTTGAAGATGCGGAAAACACGCACGAGTCGGAACACTCGCAGAACGGCGAGCGACATGGCGCCCATGTTCGCATTCTTGTTCATGATCGCGATACCGAGCGTCACAAAGTAGGGCGTGATGGCGACGAAGTCTATGATGTTCATGAAGGACTTGCCGAAGATCAGCTTCCGAGGCGAAGACATGAAACGCATGAAGAGTTCGAAAGCGAACCAGGCGACGCACACCGTCTCGATGACAAAGAACGGATCGTTGAACGCCTGTTGCAGTTCCGTCAGCGGCGGAACACTGCCGTCTTGCGTCGCATTCGCGGACGCGGACTTCGCGAAACTCGGGAGGGTCTCCACGCAGAAGACGCAGATCGACAGGATGATGACGGTGACGGACAGCAGCGCCACGATGCGGGCGAGAAAGGAACTCTCCGGATACTCGAACAGCTGCCAGATCTTGCGCTGCAGTGGCGAACTCGGCATCGGTTTTTCGACGTCCTTGATCAGCCCCTCGCTCGTCGCATACTTATCCAGGACCGCGTCGCCGAGTTGAAAGAAGCGAATCTCCGCAGTGAAGACGTCGATGGGGACGTTCTGGGGGCGCTGCAGTCGCCCGCGACTCTGGTAGTAGTGCAAGATGGCGTCGAAGCTCGGGCGATGCCGATCGAAGTAATACTCGTCGCGCAGAGCGTCGTAGTAGCGACGTCGCTTCGCCGGGTCGCCGAGGAGGGTTTCCGGGTAGCGGGAGAGCGTGCGAGTACGCGTTTCAAAGTGAAGCCCGCTGATGTTGATTATAAGACGCTCCCCACGCGCGCGCCGCGACCGTGGCGCCACCACCGGCGGTTTCATGCTGTCGACGTGGTCCTCGTGCTGCTGCAGCGCCGCCGCCGCCGCCGACGACGACGAGAGCCAGTGGTTGGGCACGGTGGCGCCCCCTCGCAGCTCGTTGCGTCGGTTCTTCGTCGTCTCGCGTCGCTGCCACCGGTTGCTGTCGTCGTCGGCGACCGCGTCGGCGTCGTCGTCGTCGTAGTCCGGCGTCGCCATCTTGCAGAGCGTCGCCTCGAGGTCGCGGTCACGTGACTCGCCCATCGCCGACGCGACGCGTAGCAGCAGCGGCACCGTCTCTGCCAGCGCTCTCTCTATGCCGCCGCAGCAGCAGCAGCAGCGACCTTTATACGCCGCCGCGCTACTCAGCTACGCGACGACGTCCGCGCGCCGCCGGAGGGCGCTGCGAATGCTCCGAGAATCGTCATGGCGGCCGGAAACAAAAGCGGAAGTTCGCTGCTGCGTCGGTTGGCTCGCCGCGCGGCGACCGTCGCACCGCCACTTAGTGGCCGCGCGGATACATGCGCTCGTCCAACCCGAGAGAAATCTGAGGGATGCGTTCTTGCTGGTGATTGCAATCTTGGCGGGAAAACCGCGCTGTGGTGTGTTTGTTCGCAGAAGATGCGTTGTAGTGTCGTCTGCTTATCTGCGGTAAACGTCACGGCACGATCCCTGACGTATGCGAGAGACGTCACGATTTGTGACGTTTGTAAGGAACGTCACACTTTGTGACGTATGTAAAAACGTCACTCCTTCTGGCGTACGTAAGCAACGTCACGATTTTTGATGCACGTGAGATAAACGTCACAGCACGATCACGGACGTATGCGAAGAACGTCACGCTTTGTGACGTATGCGATAATCGTCACGACGATTTATGACGTATGTGAGAAACGTCGCTATTTTTGACGTATGTGAGAAACGTCACGATCTGTGACGTATGTGAACACGTGTCGTCACGGCCGCCGCACTCAGTGCGTCCGCTAGGTTGCGCTGCCTGCACGTCTGCCTGCATGTCTCTCTCCTCCTGCCTGCAAAATATAGAAACATCACAAGTTACTCATAGTCGCCTTGATTCATGCAGCGATGGAGGGAGAAGGGAGGAGAAAGAGACTGAGAGAGAGCACGCAAGGGAATCCTCTTCCTTCCTCCCCTTTCTCTTCCCTGCCTCTTTCTCCTCCTCCTCCCCTTCCCTGCCTCTGCCTCTTCCTTCCTTCCCCTTCCCTGCCTCTGCCTCTTCCTTCCTTCCCCTTCCCTGCCTCCTCCTTCTTCGGTTCTTACTCTCTCTCTCCCGCCTCTCCTCGCCTTTCTGGTCTTCATTTTATTCGCGTATCCTTCTTCCTCGTGCATCTACTCTTTCTACGGTCTCCTCTTTCTTCTCCCATCTCCCCTTTCTTCTCTTCCCCCTTAGCATTCTGCTCCTCACCTTCTTCTTCTTCTGTCTTCTTCTAACTTCTTCTTCACTTCTTCTTTTCTTCTTCTTCTTCTTCTTCTTCTTCTGTTTTTGTCTTCTCGTCCTCCTCCCCTCCTCTACATCCTCTTCCTTCTCGTCTCCTCCCCTCCTCTACATCCTCTCCTTCTCTCCTCCCGACTTTATTCTTCTCCTCCTCCTTCCTCTTCTTTTCTTCCTTTTTTTTTATCTCCAGCTCCCCTCCTCCTCCTTCTCATCCTTCTTTCTTCTTCTCCTTTTTCCTCCTCCTTCCTACCCTCCTCTTCCTTTTCTCAGCCTCCAGCTCTGCATCCTCCTTCTCCTTCCCCCTCCCTGCCTTTCTTCCGTGCCCCCCCCCCCCTGCCGTCTCTCGTAGCAGGCTACGGTCGCTCTCTAGCACGCTCCTCGTTTCTGGCCGGAATGCCTGTCGGCAACGCGTAGACTGACCCCCTATCTCTGCTCTAAATACAGATCATTAACAACGTGTAGAGACAGGGTGCCAGTCTACAGAACCCCGGGGCACTTGTACATGTTATTACGTTATATTGCCGAAAGAATCGCGCGCCAGTAAAGTCGGTTATGATTTATTACAGAGCGCCGGCTAGGAGCCCTGGCAGTAATAGCAGCAGTAGCAGCGGCATCAACAATAACAATCATGGCAGCAGTAGCAACAGCTGCAGTAGTAGCGGCGACGCAAGCAGGCACAGTAGCAGCAGCAACAATCAGCACAGCAGAAAGCAGCATTAGCAGCACAACAGACAACGAATCGTGGCAGCAGTAGCAACAGCTGCATTAGTAGAAGTCAGCAACAAGCAGCAGTAGCACAGCGAACAGCAGCAGCACAAGAAGCCAGCAGTAGCACAATATCAACATAACAATTCGGCAGCAGTAGTCACAGCTGGCAGACGTAAGCAGCAGCAACAGCAGCAGTACAGCAGCAGCAGCAGCAGCAGTAGCAGCAGCATCAACAATAACAATCGTGGCAGCAGTAGCAGCAGCTGCAGTAGTAGCAGCAGCAACAGCAGCAGTAGCAGGCAGCAAGCAGCAAGTCAGCAGCAGAAGCACATTAGCGCAATCCAACAAATAAGCATCGTGCAACAGTAACACAAGCTGCAGTATATTCAGCAGCAAGCCAGCAGCAGTAACAGCACAACAGGCAGCACAGTCAGAACGGAGCAGTAGCGCAGATCAACATAACATTGTGCAAAAAGAACTCGTGGCAAGCAATAGCAGCAAGCAGCAGCTAAGTCAGTACAGCAGCAAACAGCAGCAGCATAAACAGCAGTAGCAATCAGCAGCAGCAGCAGCAGCAGCAGCAGAAGCAGTCAGTACAGCAACAACAACAATAACAATCGTGCAGGCAGTAGGTCAGGCAAGCTCTCACATTGTATGCACACACACGCACACGCACACGCGCTCACACACACACACACACACACACACACACACACACACATCACACACACACCACGACGCATGCATGCACACTCCCACACATGCCAGCACGCCATGCACACGCACACAACACAGTCACACACACAGCATCACACACATCACAACACATCGACACACACCACACACACATCAGCGCCACACACGCGCGCGCATACACACACACAGCACACGCACACCACGCACACACACTTAGGCGAAGAGAGCGCGTCGTTGCGAGATATCTAAAGCATCGTTTATACATCAGATCGACGTGATGGGCGTGTGTAGGCGTGTAGAGTCGCGTCTTAAGTACGCGCCTAGCAAGCGAAGCTCACAATTCACGCGCGAATTACTCGCGGGAAAAGTCATTCCCGCGAATTTCATCCATAGTGACTTATCGAGGTGCCCAGCGACAGTGGGCGCAGCCGGGGGAGACAGGAGGGAGACGGGGAGAGGAGTTGAGTCATGTGAGAGAGAAGACGAGAGAGGGAGAGAGAGGCGCGAGAAGAGAGAGAGAGAGAGAGAAGACAGGTGAGAAGAGGAGAGAGAGAGAGTATGCGAGAGAGGGACGGAGAAAGAGAGAAAGCTGAAGAGACACACAGAGAGAGATAGATAAAGAAGAGAGAGCATAGTTAAAAAGCAGAGAGTAGTTAAGAGAGGAGAGAGAGAGAGAGAGAGAGATAAGAGGCAGAAGAGTGAAGAGAGAAGAGAACAGCGAACGAGCGAAAAGGGTGATAGAGAGAAGAGAGGATGGGGGGGGAGAGAGGAGAGAGAGAAAGAGAGATGAGAGAAGAGAGGAGAGAGAAGAGAAGAGAGAGAGAGAGAGAGATAGAGAGCAGAAGAGGGGGAGAGAGAAGGAGCGAGAGAGAGAGAGAGAGAGAGAGAGAGAGAGAGCGCGAAAAGTAGAGAGAGAGCGAGAGAAGCGATGCTGCGGAATGAGAGAGAGAAGGAGATATGCGAACAGATATTAATAGCCAGACATTTCTGAATTTTTGTCACGTGCATGTTTGTGTGCTTATGCCGGCTACTTTGTCATTGTGTCAATTTTATCGGTAAAATCCGCCACAAGAAGCGTGCCGTCTATTTGCGATTGTTGTGTGGTGTGTGTGTGCGGCGTCGCGTGAGTGTTGTGTTGTGGTGTGTGTGTGGTGATGTGTGTGTGTGTGGTGTGTGTGTGTGTATGTGCGTGTGCCGTGCGAGCGTCGCGGTGCGCGTCGGCGCGTGCGGCGTGCGCGTGCAGTTGTGGGCGTGGTGCGTGTGCGTGTGCGGTGTATATATATGTGATGTTTGTGGTGTGTGTGTGGTGTGTGGTGTGTGGTGTGTGTGTGTGTTGTGTGGTGTGTGGTGTGTGTGTTGTGTGTGGTGTGTGTGTGTGTGGTGTGTGTGTGTTGTGTGGTGTGTGTGTGTGTGGTTGTGGTGTGGGTGTGTGTGTGTGTGTGGTGTGTCGTGTGTGTTGTAGCGCGTGTGCAGTGTGCTGTGTGTGTTGCATGTCATGCATGCTGTACGTCGGCTGCGTGGGCGTGCGTGGTTGCGAGCCTGGCGTGCGTGTGCGGGTGCGTGTCGTGCTCGTTATGTCGCGCTTGCGTGATGTGTGTGTGTCCGAAGGTTAGTTCGCTTGTCTAAAGTATGATATCGCTGGCTTGGTTTTAGATGGCTGGCCTGGCAATGGATGGCGGAACATGACATAATCACTGCGCTGTAGCATGCGTGACGGCATATGAGTCCGCAAGCAGGATTGTCGCCCTATCCGCCTTATATGTAGCGTTCCGCTTATATACATACCTTTATAGTAATCCGTTGATATACATATCCTTATATACGCGTCCTCTTTATACATACTTATATAGCATCCCTTTATATACCATACCTTAATAACATTACTTTCTATACATATCCGTATATATACATACCTTTATAATTACATCTCCTTATATACATACCTTAATATACTACTTTACATATCATACCGCTATATACCATACCTTATATACATACCTTATATATACATAGCCTTAAAAGTACATACCGGGTATATACAATATCCTTATATACATACCTTATTAACGATACGCTTATATACGTCCCTTATATACATACCGATATGATATACCTCCTTATATACATGACCTTATATACGTCCTTATATACACTATCCTTATTATACATGACCTTATATACATAACCTTATATATGCATACCTTATATACAGTACGCGTTAATACATACCTTAAATACATACCTTTTATATACGTCCCTTATATACATAGCCTTATATTACGTCCGCTTAATACGTCCCGTTATAATATCATAACCCTAATAGTAGCATGTCCTTATATATCATACCTTATAATAAGAGCGTCGCCTTATATACGTCCCTTATATACATATTCCTTATAGTACAATACCTTATAGGACATCCTTATATACATACCCTATAAGTACATCCTTATATAGTCCCTTTATATATCCATACCGTTATATACATGTACCTTATATACAATTACTATATACAGTACCTATTATACTTCTCTTAATTATACATATCCGTTATAGTACATACCGTTATACAGTACCGTAATAGTACATCCCTTAATACTCCCTTATTATACATACCTTATATATATCCTTAATATACATACCGTTATATATCATACAGCCCCTTCATATAACATATCCTTATAACATATCCTTATATACATCCCTTATACGTCCTTAATATACATAATCCTTATATAGCATACCTTTATATACATACCTTATATACGTCAGCTTACGCTTTACGATATTAATCCACCCGCATCATCTCTCTCTCTCATCCATCTCTCTCTCTCCAGGTCTCTCCTCAGTCTTCGTCTGGATCCCCAGTCTGCTCTCTCTCTCTCTCTCATCGTCCTCCTCTCTCTCACTTCATCACCTCCCGCACCTCGTCCCGCTCCCTTCTCAGTCTCTCTCCGATCGCCCTCTCTCTCTCTAGCTCGTCTCTGTCCTCTCGTCGTCTCTCTCTCTCAGTCGCCCTCTCGCGGCTCTCATCTCGTCCTCTTCGTCTCTCATCATAATCATT